AGGCAAACGACTTCCACAGTTCATCAGGTTGATCGGGATCATTGATGAAATGAGAAACGCCTTTGACAATCACCCATTCAATCTTCATGTCATGTGCGGCTACAAAGACACCTACAACAAGCAGTGAAACACGTACTTGAAACAAAACATTGTAGAAGAAGTAACTTTGATGGTTTGTTGTAAACCTAAGGAAAATTTAAGCGACCACAGCAGGATTCCTTCCCAGACGGAAGCCTCCTGACCTAAAGCCAGGTGCAAACGAACGCAACATTAATGACCAACAACTCCGAACATCGTTGGATGTTACCACAGAGCGCCAAGAATCACAACAACCTACTGCAAGCCAAATTATAAGGATTTGTATGGATATTTATCTTAAGATCAATAAAACGGTTAAAATATACATAAACAGGTATGGAAGTATACATACCTCATAAAGAGTTTTGTCTGTGTTGTTTTCTTACACTTTCCTTACCTATAAACGCCATTTTAGCAAGTTTTAATGTTTTGGTTCTCAACTACTAAGAAGAAGACAACGAAAAACTTGGCTATACTACGCTGCTAGACGTAAAAGCTACAAAAATTACCTTCATTCCACTCCAATTGCTCCCAAATTTCGCTTGAGCATAGACCGAAGATCTTCCTTCCTTAAAAACGTCAATTTAGTTCGAAACATCGAGCTATGGCCTCAAGAGGACCAGAAATGTCGCTAAAAAATTTGAACTTACCGCTTCCGTGCATCCGCTCTCCTTCGTGGTGACCTACCGATGGTGTTGCTCTTGGCTTAGTAGCCACGCTACACATTAAAAATCCCCTCGGCAGGGATAGACAGGGGAAAAATCCACCCATATAAAACCAGATTCGCGGGGGTGCCCAGGGAACGCTTTCGCTCATTTTACAAAGAAATGGCGGGAAAATTACGGGTCCCCGTCGAGGGCATTTTGAATGTGCGGCGTGGCTACTAAGCCAAGATCAACGCCATCGGTAGGTCACCACGAGGAAGAGCGGATGCACCGAAGTAGCCTGCGTAGCAAGCGTTTTCGTGCGGTTTAGGAGCAAAGAACAAGGAACGAGGCTCAAAGACCGTGTAAAAAAATTGGCTCCCCCTCCCCCCTCTTTCATTTTTTGGCTCTTGTCTTTTCATTTCTCGCGCGGCCAAAACCTAAGCCTTTTTTTGCTCCGAAACCAAACGAAAACGCCTGCTACGCAGGCTAGCACGGAAGTAGCCTACGTGTAACCGCACGCTCCCCCTCCTTTGTTGGAGGGAGAGTGCGGCTACACGTAGGCTAGCACGGAAGCGGTAAGTTTAAATTTTTTAGCGACATTTCTGGTCCTCTTGAGGCCATGGCTCGATGTTTCGAACTAAATTGACGTTTTTAAGGAAGGAAGATCTTCGGTCTATGCTTAAGTACCCTGGGTGCCAGAGACTTTTCTAGCGCGGTTTCCGGTTTCTGTCAAGTCTTTATAGTGACCCGCGCGAAGTTTGGGAGCGATTGAAGTGGAGTGAAGGTAATTTTTGTAGCTTTTTCCTCCGGCCGCGTAGTACAGCCGAGTTTTCCCTTGTCTTCTTCTTAGTACTTGAGAAACAAAAATGGCGCTTGTAGGGCAGAAAACAGTAAGAAAACGACACAGACAAAAGGATCTTTAAATAAATTTCCATACAAATCCTTATAATTTGGCTTCCAGTAGGCTGTTGTGATTCTGGGCGCCCTGTGATGTTTCATGTTGTGTCCGTTTGCAAGCCCTGTTGTTGCATTTTGTTGGGAATTGTTGCAAAAATTTCAAACTTTTAAGCTACGTGGAAACGGACGCAACAACTCCCAACATTTTTGGGCCGACAACGGCAGCGAAAACGTCACCCAAAGAGTGAATTCGCGCTGTTACAAACTTAATCGCCCTTATTCCAACTCTTTTAACTTGTCAAATGTTGGCGATTTTGTTATCAGTTGAATTCTAAAGGACTGTCTAAAAAAGAAAAAGAAAACCCTTTCTCCATAAAACATTACGACGTTTCACGTCGTAGTCGTGCAGTGACGGCAAAGAAATATACAAAAATGCGTGATGCAAGTGCAAAGTTGTTGTTTTGTCAATTTAAAACTATTGCTTTTTTGCCTTTATCGTTGCCGTTGACATCGTCGTTGCTTAAACTCCCTAATGTTGGGAGTTGTTGCGTCCGTTTGCACGTAGCTTAGAAATTATCAATTAGCTTAATAATTATTATTATTCATTCAAAATATTTCCCCAATTCTGATTGGCTAGAATCACACGCATAATTCACCACAACCAGTTACTGATGACCAAATTTAAAGAATTTTGTGTTTAACGAGGAAATGACGTCAAAAAGGGAGCCTTCTACAGGTTAATGCACCGTTAACCGAGAAGACCTGGTAACGAGATTGAGTTGTTTTCGTTGTAAAAAATAAAATGGCGGACACTGCACTCGTTTCAAGAGTAAGAACTACAGCTGGAACTAGGCGAAACAATGGCTAAAAACATAGCA